ACTGAACTTAAAGCTATGAATAATGCAGTACTTTGTTGTTTTTTATTCTTTATGTAAATCAAAAATATTTAAAAATTAAAATGTAATCTTATATCAATAGCAAAAGTTGTCCTGCCTCAAAAGAATCCACAGTGAAGCTCTTTTACTGGTTTTATTTCATCCTGTTGTGTGACTGTTGCTAGGTGGTTTAAAATTTCTGTTTGATTACCAAGAAAAATCTGAAATCTCATAATAGTTTTAAAATAAACTATTAAGGGAGGTTTTAGTTTAAAAATGTTCTGAGGTCAAATACACAAGAAATTGAAAATTCAGCTTTTAATTTCAGTTGTACCATTTAGTGTCAGTTCTTTATTTTTGTTTTCTGGGTCACACACCTCGGTGCTAGAGAAAGCTACAAATGACTGACAACTTGAGAGTTTGGCCGTTGGTCATTTGACATGACGAGCGACACCTCGTCATGTCAAACTTCACCTGTGCCGCACTCCAGGTCCAGATGCCACAGGTTTACTGAGTATGATGTAGTTCTGCCAATCTGTGTTTGATTACTCTCAAGGATGTCCGACCCAAAGCATGTCATTTCAGAACTGAAACCAAACTGCTATGCAATAAGCCACAATACACTGTAAAAACTAACTTTCAATAAACTGAAGTCATTTATTATAATTTGTGTCCTAAAATCATCTTGTATTTCATCATGTTGTCTTTGACTGACAAAAATATTGTTTGTTGCTGATGAACTCTGACTGACCATACCATAGTACCTCCAGCGTACATCACTCTAAAAGTTTAAAATCAAAGTTTTAAATAAACATAAACCCTGCTCTAAGCTTTAGTTAGACCACCAAAGCAGATGGAGTAGGAAGAACAAGCAATAAAAATGGATGTTTAGATTACAAGAGGAAGCAGACAAAGATAGACCAGAGCAGGAGGGGCCTAATAATAAATACAGATGCTAGTTTTACCTTTTGAAAAAAATAAGAATTTTAAGTTCCTTTGTGTCTGTTCCCTGGGTCTCATCCGGTGATCACACAGTGAGGAATAAAAGGTGAATGATAACCCTTTGACCTGACCTGTGCATGTTTCTGGTTTATTTTAGAAATCCAGGAAAAGGATGTGTGACTGACTCATTCAGCAAACTGCAGCAGGAGATAGTCGTTTTAATGGCCTGTTACTAAAGGACAGGAAGAACAATTGCCTATTTACCACCACACTTCCGACCAAAATCCCTACTGCTCTGATGCACATAAACCTACAATCCTTTGTAAAGATTGAAAAGAAATGACTTTAAAAAAAGAGAATTTTATTCGATGTGCCTGCCCTGTGAAGTCAGAAATCTTCCGATGTTCGTCTGGTCAGTGTTTGTCATTGGATATCCCATCTTTCCACTGGACGCTCCACTATGTTTGCCTTGGTGGGAGAGCAGTCAGAGTTGTGACTGTGGTCCTATTACAAAACACACACTACAGCTGAGCGACCTTGCTGACTCGAAATGTCATGCCGCCTGCAGGAGACGCTGACTTTCTTGGATACAGTACATGCAGGACGTCTAACTTTCAGCGGCAGCAGCAGGTTTCCAAACAAAGTTGAACTGTGGTTGGTGTGTAACTCCAACAGCAAGGGCTGACTTGGAGTGGAAGGAATGTTGACCCCTTCGGTCCTGTGAGTTAAAAACGTTAAACAGTATTGTTAAAGGGGGGAAAGGGCATTGACATGTTTATAAATTAACATGGAACAGGGGTCAAACAATAAAAGATTATGATCAGGAACTGTGCACATTATTCACTGCATAGTTAAAACAAGGCTAAGTTAACATGGAAGAAGGGGATAATATCCACAAATCAGTTAGTCAAGCAGCTGATAACAGTTCAGCTGACACAAACTGTTATCCTTGGATTTATAGCATTTGACAAAGGCCTAATGAGTTCCATTATTATATTTGAAAACATACAGATACATATAAATCAAAATAAAGTGAAAAAATGTGGCAGAAACTGTAAACTTGCTAAGAGTTTACAGTTTGGGCAAAATGTGTAAGTTTGCCCATGTCTTTAGAGTACTTTTTTTTTTATAGTCAAATAAGAATATTTGACTTTCTTTTCTTAGACTGTGACATCGTTCATCTCTTCTGTTGTGAAGAATAAAGCGGGCATGCTCTGTACTGCGAAAGTTCTAATAGGGTGCTTGATTTTTCAGCTGCTGAAATGCTGCCCTCTTGTGGTTTTAATTCTACGTCACATGCAATTCAAAACTGTCACCACCAGAGGGAAGCAAATCCACATATTTGAAAAGTCTGACGGGGACCATTTGGAGTCTCGCAATTAAAATATGGCATTTTAACTCGCCTGGAACAGCGACCGCATTACATAAACTTATGAGTCTGGGGACGCAACACTATTTTCAGAACAAACACAAAACATAAGCATCAAAGTAGATTCAAACTGACACTAAACAAAAAAAAAGCCCTGTTGCCAAGAGATTTGAAGCAACTGACAAAGAAAATACACACTTTTTAGCTTGTCATTTGTGTGTCTTATTCAAAACGTTTACATTGTTTGAATTATTTTTGATGAATCGAGTGCCTTACCATTCGTGCCCCTATAACATTTTTAGATGTAGTAACCTTTACGACAGAACAACAAAAACATTACTGTGTGGAGGAAAAAAACACACAAGTGATTTCCATTATTTTAAATACAAATTTAAGTGATATTCAGTCATCTTTACTCTATCTCTATGAAATAAAATCAAATGCAATCAAGTGGTTACGTGTGAGTGTTCATATTTACTGGCTTATTAAATCTGTCACTTTATCCTGAACTAAACTATGCCTGTAATATCAGGTTAGTTGGAAATGTAATCTTGCAAATGGAGACGAGTAATAATCTTACGACCAAAATATGGCATTGTAAAATATTTTACAGTAAAATATTTTACAGTAATATATTTTACAGTATATATTACTGTAAAATTCTGTTCAGAGCAGTAGACATGGTTGTTTTTTTTATATCATTTTTAATCAGTACATATCATTAACATTTCCTCACAGACCTAAAGATGGTTGGTGATGTGCACCTATAACACACGCTGCAACTTCCTCCGTTTAAATGTGAAGCCTGCATCCAGGAAGCCACACTTTGGCCACCCAGCCCGGTCCTTCATTTCCTTTTAAAGCAGTGGAAGAGCCCCACCATCCCCTGATGCACATCACTATAAGTGCATGTCAATGAGGTGCAGATGACAGGAGTGCATTGTGAGATGGCTGCTGAGTGGGAAGCGCCATGTGACACTCCTGAATGGGCTGCCGGGGGTTGGCAGGAGGGAGAGGATGGTGACATCCACAAAGGGGCATTCAGGAACTACAGACTAGGTACAAGACTGGCACTGGTCCTCCTTTCCTTCCCTGAGACAGCAGGAGTAACGCCGTTTCTTGGTACGGACTGAATGGAGGAATTATTGTTGAAATAATAGGGGAGAGGAGGTTTATTATCCCCATATAGCACTTCCTTCAGTCTCTACATTGTGTCACTACTTCCTTGTGTGACTTACAACCTTGTCTTGTTCATGCCTCAAAGACCAAACAGTGTTTTTAGCAAGACAAACGTTTTATGAACACATGCGCAGTCCTTGTAAAAGTGTTACTAACCTTCATTTTATGTAGCGTTACAATCACACATTTTGGTGTAATTTCTTAAGACTTTAGAGGACGAATCAACTCCAAGTAGTTCAGAAGTGAAAGAAAACGATGAATGTTTTTCAAAAATGTTCTGCACAAAAATATCTGAAGAGGCCTGGCATGAATTTGTGTTCAGCCACACTGACAATCCTTTGCAGAACCAGCTGGAGGAAAGTGCTCCCACACCACGAGCGCTTTGTTCACCAAGTCTCACAATGTGAATGGTTCATTCAGGGTGATGGTTTTGCACTTGTTCTGCAAAGTTTGTTTGGTCTCATCTAATCAGAGCATCTTGATAAATGGCATGAGGTAACAAGGCCTTCTTGTGGCTTTCCCCCCCCGCAACAATAGTTTTCTTTTTCTCCCTCTTCCACAAGTGCCAGATGTGCAGAGTGTCCAACTAGTAGCTCGTTGTCACCACATTCTTTTTCCTGAACTGTGCATCTCTGTCATTCCTCTAGAATGACAGAGGCCTCTTTCTTGCTTTTCTGGCAAACACTTTCCTTAGCAGTTGTGCCATATTTTCTTTACATTTTCAGATGACGGATTTAATAGTGCTCCGTGTGACGATCAAAGCCTTGTATAATATTTTGTTACCTAATACAAACATAGTCATACTTCCTCTCAGGCCTGCCTGCTATACTTTGTGAAGATGTATCTTCACAGATGTTCTCTTCTCAGCCATTTAGAGAACAGCTGCATAAATTCTGGCAATACTCTGGAATGTACTAATTATAAATTAGTGATCGCTGTTAAACTAGGTTAATTACTAGTTGGTTTAACCTGATTTGATTTGGGGGGAGGTGAATACAATGGCATAGCACAATTTTCACATTTCTATTTTTTAAATTCATTTGGAAACCTTCTGTCATTTTCCTTTCACCTCACAATTGGGCAGTAATTTGTGCTTACTTACACAAGAGACCAAGGTTGCAACCTGACAAAATGTGAAAATGTTCCAGGGGAGAAGGTAGTTCAATTAAATCCTCAATTAAATCTAATAAGCACGGATAATAATTTGGATACTTTTAACACTTCTGAATAAAATAATCTCGACATTTTTACAGTTTGTCTATAGCCTACTTCCAGTTTGACTTACTGGATAATTTAGTTAATTCTTGAGGTAGAAATGTTGTTTTAATTTTTAATCACCATGCTATCTTCATCCTCCTCTCTCTCTGTGCAGCATCTCATCCACAAGGCTCGCTGTGCTTTAATCCCGCACGCAGCTCCACTCCTCCTCTTCATCCTCCTCTTCCTCGCTCTCTCAGTGCCGATCTGACTGGGAGGAGGTGGGATCTACCCACTGGTGGTAGTGGGCGAGTAACCGCGTACGTGCAAATCGTGCAGACTGCCAAGGACGACTGTCGGTAGCCAGAAACGGGAGTTTCTCATCGTTCACCGCGAACCCCCGGCTTGGGTAAAATTCATCCACCAGGGACACATCTACCTTCTTCTCGAGTTGCGTCCAGTTTATTTTAAGCGATCGGAGCCTCCAGTAGCTGCAGCGGGAACGTCACAAACAGACGGACTGACGGGCGGAGCGGGGCTGTGTGTGTGATGAGGAGGTCGCCTCGCCGCAAGGCTTTGCGTAACATCCACATACGAAGAAGGGGGCTTTTTTTTTTGTGGTGGCGACTGCTTTCAGTTTGGGTCTGCTCTCAGTAACAGTCTGCCTTTGCGAAGAAACACACAGCAGAGGTTTTAAAGCCACCAAAGGAGCTGAAGGGGAAATTGCCGGTGAGTCTCTGTGTTTACGTTTTTAGCTCTATGCACTCAAACAGCAACTTAGGGCTGATGCTGCCAACTTTAAATAATCCGAAATTGATCTCAGCTGCACTTTGAGCACCAGGGACATCATTTAAGCTCACAAATACCTAAACGTGGACAAGAAGACTGCTTCATTTCGGCTAAAAGAGTCCTTAGATGATATTTAATCGGCTAACTCGGTCGAGTTATGAGTTATTCTCTCATTTGTAGCAGCTAATAGGTTAGCGCTGCTAGCTTAACCACCTCCACCCGTCTGTCTCCAGTCCTGCTGTGAGGCAATAAAAGTCTCCGAGGATGGGCGAGACACCATCCGGGTGTCCAGTTTAAACAAATGACAACAACTCAGGAGCATCAACCTTGGTGTACGGCTGACCTCTGACCCAAAACCAACCAGCCGGTTAGAACGGCAATCGCGCTAAAGTCCATTTCTTCATAAACGGCACTAACGGGAGCATCTCCGCCCCTCCTAGCAGGTTAGCGACGCAGGACCTGCCACCGTGAATCCACTGCATGTGTGGACTCATCTGCCATTTCACTGCACCCACCGCTGTTTGGTACTGAAAATGGAGCTGACCCTTATGAATCAAACTGCGCGAAGCTTCATATCTTTTCGTGCCATCAACGGGTTTTGGGAAGTAATGGTTTCCTAACCAGACTGCGCTCTTAAGTGCAGAACGTACACAGCAGACGACAGCCTGCGGTGTTTCTGGTCGGTCTGTGTCTTTAAACGGGAAATTGAAGGTTCCTTCTGTGGCAGCGTGGATTGGATCCGAAAGTTCAGGTTTGTTTAACTTGGATCAATAGGGGCAGGGGGGGTAATAGTTGTCCACAAAAGCAGAACAAAAAAACAGAACACAGAGCCTTACTAACATATCAAGGAAATAAGGTGAATGTTTTCCAAAGCGGGTTGCACCGATGTGTGGTGCATTTACTGAATGGAGAAAGATTGGATTTTTGAGTTGTCCTGCTGAAAATCATCTGATTTCAGTAAAACTCTGTTACTTTGGTTCATTTCTTGTATTGGACTCTCTGAATGTGTATGTATCGCCAACATTTGTGTCACTGTATCAGTGCTATTGTGTAGAAAAATAGATTTGACCTCTGATGTTATCTGGTGCTGTCTTTGTATTATCAAATATCCAGACTGGACACAGAAACAGCTTTCTGTTGTTAATACACTGAGGGCCTGCAGTTAAACCCAGCCAGGCATCAAATTTATTAAAATTAAGGTGATGTGGAATTGTTGTATTGTGATGAGGAAATGTTACAAGAGTAGTGAGCCAAAGTGAGTTGAACACGGTGCTTTCCTAGTTTGGGTGCAATTTGCATCTCAAGTGCTTGCTTTGCTTGCTTCATGAATCCATGAACTGCTTTGCCTGGTTGTACTGAACACATACATCAAAAATCAAGCCAGTGAGCAGCGGGTCCAAACACTGAGATTTAGCAAAGGTTTGCCACAAATGGAAATAATTATCATTTAATATAACATACAGTTGAGATGACATGAACTAGTGTGGATAGAGCACCTCCAAAAGAGTGAAAGTGACCTGTGGGGTCATCTAAAGTCATTCTCACAGGAATCAGATTTCCATTGTCTTTGTCCTGAGCCTAGTTATTTACCCTCCTAACAGGTTTTCTGTTGTTGGATTGATATCAGTAAAGTTAATTTCTTATTAGCTGCTTCAGTTCTGCATTTAGGATGATAAATGGTCTGTTTTCTGCTTTGACCAAGTCCTTCCTCGAGTTACCCAGCAAGTTTTATTTAGCTAGTTGTTTTTCTGGTGTACTTTTATCCCACATATCAGGCGCAACTGCTTCAGACACAAATTATGGAGTTGAGGTGCACTCAGTAACCCCAACTCAGATTATCCATACAATGCATTAATCGAACCTGTGATCCAAAACCTGAGGTTTTCTGACTGTTGCTTTAAGAGATTATTAAATTAGGTTTTTATGACATTGGCATATTAAAATATTACATTAAAATATTAATATGGTTAAATATTAATATATATTTTAATGTGAAAAAAACCCCACATTGTTTTGTACTTAACACGAGGGAGTTCCTGGGTAACTCCAACTGAACTTCCTTTAACATCAAGGCGAGCAGCGGCCAATCTGGTCTGTCTTCTTTTTCTTTATTCAACAGTTGTCTTAAAAAAGACAGAAACTACAGCCAACCATGCAGCTCAAATTTTAACATGGCATTTTGAACTGAGGTGCCCAGTATTTCACAGCACTCCTTTAATAAGGTGTGCAACTCTTTTCAAAGGGGAAAATAAGTCATGTATAATCTGCATGTGTTTTAATACCAGTTATGTAAAGACCAAGCTAAAGAGGAACTAAGCATTACTACTTGTAGTGTAGACAAGTTCCTCCAGGCAAAGGCTTGTTTAGTCAAATTACATACAAGTTTCAATATTTACTTTAAATGTGGTTCTTGTCAAAAACTTTCCACCAGCAATCTTTCCTGTCTGACTTTTACAAGCTTCAGTACTTCAAGTGCAAAGAGTCCACCGTACATTCAATGCTTGCCAAGGTGGTGCTTTCACATGCACTGCTGCCTTAACATTTTCTGGATATTTTCCAAAGCAACTGCATGTGGCAACACAAACCTCCGCAACATGTGCTCAGGACTTCTTGTGCAATTTTGTGCGACAGCTACGCAGTAGGATTCTAACAGGAGTGTTGCAAACAGTCGGTATTGCAAGCGTCCATTTTGTTTGAGTGTAAAATGTCTCATAAGGTGGTGCATTATGACAAAAAAGTCAAAAGAAGAAATGAATTGAATGGCTCTCCAGATGTTTTTTGTGATGGCTGTATAATCTATTTTAGCAAAACTTAGTTATGACTCAGAAAGTAACAATTTTGTTGCCAAAGTAAACTGAAACATATTTTTGAAAAATGTACCACAGAATGATTTGTAAGTTTTTGCGAATATTTATAAAAATATTACTTGGTGTCATTTTTTGAACTAGTTTTCAAAGTACTTTCTAGCATGATTTCCGATCATCTTTTGATTCTGATATTAGCCATTTCCAATTTCATAATAAGTTTTACGAATATTGAATATAGCTGAAAAAAAATCCAAAATGTAACTGTCTTGCAAATTTGTATTTGCTATTACATTCTTTGACAACCAAACCATGTTTCAAAGCACTTAGTCATCTAACAGACAAAGCTTACTTTTGTTATATGCGCCTCAAAAAATAGAAGAATTTGGGGTGTGTTGTGATGGTGCAGGGGTTGTTAAGCACAACCCATGTACAGAAGCCTTAGTCCTTGACGCAACAGTCGCAGGTTCAATTCCTGGCCTGGTGACCTTTGCTGCTTTCCAGTCAATTAACTATCAAATAAAGGCCACTAGAGCCAATAAAATCTTCTAAAAAAAATTATAATTTATTGTTATTATTTTTTGACAACATTCATTCAAAAATAAACAGCAGCTGTATCCAGCTCCATCCAACAGTTGCATCCATTATTTTCTGACTGCTTATTCATTTATTCAATTTGCAGCTAGACTGAATTTTGCTAGCACTCCTAAATAAATACTGTCTGACCTCAGAGGTGGCATTTGAGATTTTCTTTGCCATTCATGATTAGCACAGCAAAGTTAACATTACTGACCAAAGACAGCAGTCTATGAAAGTAGTCTTTGCAGGGTAAGTAAACTCGTACCTTATTTGTGAGATTTCCAAATGACTGTCAATATTTCCAAAAAACGTATTGCTTCATGATGGACAGAATCTGGCTCTTCAAAAGGACAAAGAGAACAATCTTCCTACTGTATGCCCATCCTCAGTACTGCCTGCTCATGCACCCCTCCCTTGTTTAAATGGTTAGTTTGTATTTTCCTGTTGAGAGTTTTTGTGATTTTTTTTTTTATTTTCTATCTGTATAATTACCTTACCTGTTGTGGAAAGATGTCATAGCACCGTAAACTCAATGGAAAATGAATGTACTTTGATTGGTGGAAGCTAACAGCATGTCAAACGTAACAGTTTACAACAATTTAACAACAGATCGCGGGAACGTTTGGTACCCTTGATTCAGCTGAAGGTCAAGGTTCCTATGTTCAGTTACCTTAGGTCAGCCTGCTGGTTAGCCCAAGCCTTTGATCCACTGCAGCTCTGCCAACATCAGACTTTGTGTTGGTTCTGCTACAGAATTAAATATGTTTTTTTGTCCTTGTGCTTTAAGGTAGTTGTTTGAAAATCATCCTGACAGACTAAATCAATAGAAGTGGAGTCATGCACTTCATGAAGAGCTTGTTAGCATTCACCACTCCGACGCGTTTATCATATGTTTACTACGGGAATGAAAACATACTACTATATGTTTTCACTCATAATAATGAGTGAAAACACTCAATCACTACGAGTGTTTTCTCTGAAAAATAGTCAGGATTTTAGTTTATGACCCAGAGGTCACTGATTAAAATCAGTCATGGATGAAATCATTTAATTCTTTAACTGAGCCATTCTGAAGACCTTCTGTGGGTCAGCCATGGAAACATGTCTCTATGTCAGCTGTTTTGGTTTGGACATGTTTAAAAAGTTGAGAAAGTGTATTTCAAAAGCCTGCATATTCATTGAACGTTCTTTAAATAAGCACTCCTTCTGAACTAGCTAGTGTTTAACTTTTAAATTGTGGTTCTCAGTTAATCTTCATTATGATCCACCAATTATATATCGACCTCCTTCTTGTGGCAAGTGGCCAACTCTGGCTGAATTTTTTCTGAATTACTGAAGTGAAACGTAGTTGTTTATGGGGGGAAAAAATGAGGTTGGGTTAGAATTCTGCACGTTTGTTTTTTACCAACTTAAGGTCAGATACTGCGAAGAGCTGATCATCGTTGGACTTCAGTGAGGCTGGTTTTAACTTACTACTTGTAATACTCACCCTGACATAAGTTTATTTTTAGTGGCTGTGATCGTACTATGTTGACCTACACTCTGCTTTTAGCAGCT